TTATCCCAGACAAAGGACTCCACATGACGTAGTGCACCTCACTTGGCTCGGCATTTGAATAATTTCAAAATGAAATTGGAAAGTCAATGACAAGAAGTGGTAAAAGTGTTTTTATTGTCTTTGTTCAATTGCCAGGAAACTAAAATATACATATCATTAGATTTGCATGTTTCCCTTTCAAATATTTACCTTGGCAATTTGTCTCTCGCCCATACATCCTTGGATGTATGTGTATTGTGTTATTTATCTCAATTCGCCACACTCTCTCTCTCTGTTCCGCTCTCTAAACAATAAAACGGTTACAAATAAAAACAACAAGTTGCTTGCGCCAAACGAAATTGATTTTTTAATTAATCCCATCTATGCACTCCGGTCTCGGCCTGGTTCCAGTTTATAAGCCGTTTTATTGAAATTGAATGATATCGGCTATCTTCGTTGACAGCTCTGCGAATAGACACATTATTTTTTTTCTTTATTTTTCTTTTCAATCAAACTCAGTCAAAGAGCAGCTATCGATACAGCGAGCACACAAGGCAGTCGGTGTCTCGCAACTTTTGTCTGGACACCGAGAAGCTTGATCGACAACATAATGGTATGCACGGATTCATCAGAATAACTTAATTAGCTTAGTGAAGAAGGTCAGAACATTTAATTACCTTAGTGCTAAAAGGCAACAGCAGTTTGAGTAACAAGATACATCGACTACATAGACATTTTCCCCTGCGATTACAAATAAAATAATATTACTATTATTTGCCGCATTTCAACAACAATTCGACTCATCGCCGCTGCTGCCACCATGTAAGACTATAAGTTAATTATGCATTCTTTTTTTTTTTGAAATTTGAAACGCTGAATGGCAAAATAAATAGATAATAAATAGATAATATAATGTCCTTGCGCTAATGATTGCCTTGGGAACGACATGAAAAGGACTCACACACAAAGCGCGATAAATAGGTACGTGCAGATAGAGTAGTTCATAATTTAATTTGTAATCCAATACACATGCACAACTAAATGAATAAATAGCGTGGGCTTTGATTCCATTTATGTATAATACATACATACTATATACTTGTATTTAACACAGCCCAGGCCTCGACTCTTTGAGACGGTGACAGATGCTCTTTTGCAAAACTTCATTCACAAGTCAAAGGATAAGTTTGTAAGGGTATCTGATCCAACTGAAACTGTGAAGCTAACAAATATTTTTGATGCATAATGCCTTTTCATTCATTGCTCTTTGAGCTACGGAAAGCTGTGTGCTTTGTAAATGAATAGCTTGATTTTTGAAATTTTTATCGGAATCTGAATCGTATCCATTTGTTTACCCCATAATAAATAAAATGTAAATTGAATAAGTAGAAGGTAGATGGTTAGGGAAATAATGACTGACGGATTCAACGCAAATCGAAACAATTTGTTTATTCGGTTCAGTCACAAACTAGTTTTCATTACTTTTGTAAATCTCTAAAAATCATTTACATACCTTGGGGCATATAGTATATTTAATTTTTTTTTTTTTTGGTAAATACTATTAGGCATTACTATTAGGTGTCATCAAGCCCGATCGCTTTTTGAGTAGGAAACCAATTTCGAACCAGAAGCTAGTAACGCCATTCAGAAATACAGCTAGGGACATCTAACTTGATACATGGACTTGTCTTTTCCAGCACGTCAATTCTAATATATATATGGGACCATACAGGTCTTTATTTATGTTAAACAAATCTGGTGTGTGCGGCGCAAAAAATCAAGCTTACTTCCAGAAATTACTTTTTAAATGAAGAAATGGTAACATAACCTGAAATTTAATCAAAATCGGTGTGCTATTCATATACCTGCCATGTCTTATCTTTAAATATCAAAAAAATTGTATTAAAAACTAAATTGATTTTTTTTATTTAAGTAATTAATATTTTAAAACGAATACTTTTACAGTTTAAAATCTAATACATATAAGCAAATATTCCCACTAAAGTTGCCACTCTTTTTACGATTGATCATATTTTTTTTGGATTTACGACCCACAGGTTGCACACGTTTCCTTCTGCTGATGCTGATCTCATTTTTTGATCTGTTTCTGTTTTCCAACACCTGAGCGATTATATTTTTTGGACTGTGGCAGTCAACGTCTAACGGTATTCTTTATCAGCATGACGAGAAAATTGACTCCAGACAGACTCTGGATGCACGCCTAGATTTCGTAAGCAGCTAAGCCCAAATTGACTAATTTTGCTTTCTAGAGTCTCCTTATCGCCAGCCCTAGCGAGTTTTTCCCCATCCCGGTCCCCATGCTATAGAATTTTGTCAAAACTGGCCACATTTCCACAAAAAAAAAAAAAAAAAAGAACAACTTCAAAAACCCCAACCTAGCAGAATTATTTAAAATATAATTCTTCACTTTTGTTTTAAATTCCATATAAATCTGTCAATTCTAATTCTAAGAACATTAATTAGCACAGCCTCACTCCATTACTACTCCCAGAACACGCTGGAGTGTTTTGCCCATCTGCTTCTTCTTTTTGCTTCAGCTAAGGGCGACTGCAGCATTCATTCTTGTTTGATTAATATTTATTAAAATAGTAGATATCTTTTACTTCAAAATCTTGCACCATATCAGGTTATGCCAATAATCTTAAAAGCATCTAATAATTTGCATACCTATTCATGACATGTTGATTTGATTTACTTGTATAACTATCAAGCATACGCATCGTTGCCATTTGTACATACAAGTATAATGGAGCTTAATTCAACTTATAGTCAAATATATTGTTATTCTTTTGTTGCAAAGAAAATTAAGAGAACCTTTTCCATTTTACCATTTTCTTAAAATATTTTCTAAAATTCAACCATGAAAGGTTTGCTTTTAATCCTACGCCCACCTGAGTGTTCAGACAAGGAATTTATTACGTATGGCACAGGACAAAAGAAAAAGTCAGCCCACAAAGTAGTATATAGACAGCATGGAGGTTACTTTATATTTGTATTTCTGTGCATGTATGTGTGTGTGTGTGCGTCCCTGAATTCTTAGAAAAGTCATAAAAGCGTACGGAACAAGCGGAGAAATGTCAAGCCAAACAATACAATTTGTTACCAATTAAATGACTGCATTACATAATAACAATAATAATAACAGCAGCACAAACAAAAACTGCCTGTTACACTCACACTAACACACACACACACCATAGTTATGTAAGGGAGTGTATGTGCTTACCGGAATGGCTGACGGAGTGATAGAAAGGAGATGGCTGTGACGCCGGCGGCATCGACTGTTGCTCCTGATGCCTGGCGCCCTCAACGATGAAAGGAAGCCAGTCAAATGATGGCGTATAGTACGTATGTATATTTATGTGAGTTTGTGTTTGTGTGTGGGTGTGGGGTTCGCAAGCATCCAAAGCATATCGGTTGTCAAAGTAACCGAATCAATAACACACACCATTCCGCACACCACCAAACAGTCAACAGGGGGTATGTGGATATGTATGTGTGTGAGTGTCTTTATTAGGCAACGAATGCAGCGACGTAACAGCAACAAATATGTATTACTTCATTATAGAAATGTTTTTGATTTGATTTTGTTATTTCAATGATGCTAGGATATGGAGCTTACCGTTTATTGTTACGCAACTCGACGGCACACATAACACTCACACACATTCGAAAACGAATTTGGCTGAGAAGTGTGCACGATCGTTCAAGTTCAAATAAATACTGTTAATTACGTAAGTGTGACGCCTGAGGTCACCATTCACGAAACAATAACAAAAATAATGCAAAAAAAAAAGTTTGTAAAGTAAAAAAGGGAATTTCGTAGTTAAGATCAAACAAAATTTAAAAATGTAATCCAATTAATTTGAATTCATTTTGGGGGAATTCGTATTGCCAGAAAACCAAACCGTTCATTATATTTTTTTTAATCTAGCAATGCAAATAATTCGCTTGACTTGTAAATATAGTAGAATTCGAAATCTTCAATAGTCAGAATCCTAAACAAGATTAGAACGCTAGAGTCGAGTGGGCCCAAGTCTTAAATGCCCTGCACTCACTCCCAGAAAAACAAAAAATATATACGAGTACATTTTAATTTAATTTGTCTTTTAAACTAAACTAATTAAATAAAATTAATAAAATCAAAAATACATAAAACGTGCTAAGTGTCGTACAGTTTTAAAAGAATAAATAAAATAAAATAATTGTGAATTCCTTGAATGTGCCAAGGACTTTGATTCGTGACTGTGCTTGATCGTGACGGCGCGTTTTGTCACGCGCACAGTTCTGATTTGGCTCACCCATGGGCCCGCTCCAATTAAAATTAAAAACACGCCAGCATTTTATCAAAATATAAATTGTATTTATTATTTTTAATTTATATCATATTGTTTGTCTCCCTATAGTATGTGTATGTATGTACGTATGTACATATATTCGCATGTGGCCTTCGATTAAGTTGTTATATTGTTGTACACAAATGTATAGGTGTTTTCACATACACACATACAAAAATACGAAAGAAGTCAAACATATCGGCCTTATTATTAACAATTAAACATGCTTAAATTAAGTATGCATATTGTGTTTGTAATATTAATCCTAATACATAGCTATGTATATACGTGATGTTTACAAATTGTCCGCTCATTGGGAATCAAAAGGATGCGTCGTTTATTTCATATACTTGTATGTGTCTTTATTTTTATTGAATATTCTATTCTAGTCTAGTTGCGTTCAATTAGTTGTATTTATTCAAATATAAATTTTGCAAAACTGTAACACTATGTATACTTTTTATTATTGTATTTGATTACTTACTCATGGTATTGGATTGACTGTGTTTGTGTGAGTGTTTGTGTGCACAATACAGGCTGCAGGACCCCAGTTTATTATCTTCGTTTTGGCAGCTCCGGTCCATGCAATTAGGGGTTATACTATATAGAGTAAAGGTTGAATGTGTGCTTTGTGTTTAACAAAATGAAATGAAACATAATTGATATCTTTGGCATTTTTTATTCAAAATAAATCGATACCGTTCTGTTGCTATTGTTGTTGTTATTTCTATATATACTCGTATATAATGCTACTCATATTGTTACAAAATACAGTGTAAACATTTGATTTTTGAGCTTCTCGAATACTCAAAGTTTGTTAGTTGCTTAATTTAATAGGCATAACGCATAATGTTGGCGTTTGACAATTGTTTTTGTTCTTTAAGTAATTCAGTTTGTTGTTTAGGTAAAAATATTGCTCTAACTTACATAGGTTTTTGTTTGTTGTATAAAATGATGATACGTTCTAAGTATAACCAATAATATTTCGTACAATTCAAGGTGAATATAAGTACTGCAAGATTAGCAGACATGCTTACAAATAAATATAAATACAAACGTGATTTTTTCGTTCGTTTTCTTTTTCTTATCTTTTCATTTCCTTTTCTTTGCTTCGGGTACATATTTAAACTTATGCAATAGGTATGTGTTTGTAAACGATGTAAAAAATCATTAAAACTAATGGCTACTTTAAGTAATAATTTGATATAACACTTGAGGGTTTTCTGAGTATGGGATGTATGTGGCAGAGCATTAATCAATTGGATATGGATATGGTTGTTGGTGGGGGTGTGAAGGAAGCACTTGTGGGCGTTTAGGACCATGCTGTATATTTGATTAGTTGTTTGCATTTTAGCTGGATGCAATTAATAAACATATATATTTATATATGCTTGAATCTGAACATGCGATAGACTTGTGTTAAGCACACAAAAGTTACAAGAAATTATTGCTTAATACTAGTTCGAACCCAAATTTAGAAGCATGCGTTTAAAAGAAAGATCCTCTAGTCTAGTTTTTGAACTCAAAAACTCGACTCTGACAGCTCACTTTTTTGTGCCGTGTGTATGAGTGTTTCTAAACAAAAAGAATTGTCGGCCGTAACTTTATGAGATATAACTTCATATAACGTTCTTACATTTTTTGAAGATCATGATTTAAAAAGCCAGGTACAAATATTGAAAGAACATGAAAAAAATAGAAATACTAGTTGCACAGACAACAATTGGTAATTGTCGGAAATCAAAAACTGCCGTAACTTAGTTCGATTTAGTACCTTAAACTTATTATAAATTATACTGTATGGGGTGTACTTAAAACGCTATACTAAAAATGGGCGTGTTTTTCAAGCATTTGAGCTTGCTGTTTCGTATATAAATTAAAGTACATACTAAATAAATATGCAGCATACATATGTAGGTTTAAGCTTAAGACTTTTAGCGCACTTGCACGCATATCCTGTTCATTTAGTTTTGTTTTATTTAATAGTAACCGTTTATGAAATCGCTAATTGATTGTATCCAGTTGTGTCCACGAATAATATATATGTATACACATGCTTCACCTTTTCTCTGTTATGAATACAATGGTCAATTCATTGCGATCAAATCAATTCAATTCAATGCATTTCATTCTCAATTGTCAAGTCAATTAATACAAAATTCTTATACAAATTTCTGATGCATACCAATTGTGCAGTATTGTTGAGATAGTGGGTATAGGTAGTGAGAGTTAAATGATTTGTAGACTGTGTATGTTATTTTGTTTTGTGGGTTACTACGATTTTTTTATTGTATATGTTGCCCATATAGTCGGTTCGGTTTCAGTTCGCTTGTTTCCTTTTGACACATTTATGGCGAGACATATGGTGGTGGCTTGCGATAGGAGGGCGTGGCTGGGGATTTCCCCCGGATTTCACGACCGCCCACCACCACTGCCGGCGGTGGCACATACTCATCGACATCGTTGTCACCTGAAGAATTTCAGAATCATTATATTACACATCATAGCTTATTGCTTATTTCCATTGCACGTACCAATCAAATTCGATGTGTTATAGGACGGTGGCATTAATGGTGGCTTTTCGTCCTTGAGTATAACAGGACTCTTATTGCCTATCTCAGGCTTCTCATCAAACTCATCTTGAAATATGACGGGTATACCCTTGGTGCGGAAAGATTTGCGTTCCTCCTCATCACCTACAACACATTTGAAGTACATATTAGGTTTAAATCTTTCATGAATCTATTTGAGTCGCTTACCTAACTCCATTTTGCCGCTCTTGTGACGACGTCTATGCAAACAGCATGCTATAATTGAGGCCAGCAATATCATGACTAAAATGATAACGGCAGGCAGAATAAATGTAGCCAAGTATTCTTCGGAGAATGTGGACTTTAAGCCAGGCTCCTCGGTACGCGTGGGTATATATTCATGCTGATTTATGTCCATAGTTTCTAGAAATGCGACAATGCGATTATATACGGAAGCATATTGTGATGCTAAATATTGAGGCCTAAATATTTGAATCTAAGCTGTTATCTATTGTGGAAAACTATCGAATTTATATTAGCTTTGGTTTCGAGAGCAAAACACGAAAGCAAAGCCGTTCGAATTCAAATCGATTCATGTGGAACAGACCTTATTATCTTATAAGTATCTATACTTACGATGGCAGGCACCGAAAGGCGCAACCGACAGATTTGTCAGATTGAGCTCCGGTCCCAATAGCTTCTTCACACTCTCCCTGAGCATCATGTCGCTGGTGAGATAAACGCTACGCGTGATCGCCATCTCCTTATCAGGACAACGGTTGTGCGACTTATACAGCGACGTATTGTAGAAATTAACAATCGTGCCATCCGAATCGTGATGCGTTGTTATCGAACGCACCTGTATCTGATTCGTATTCGAATCGCCGTGCAGTTGAGCAATACGCTCGACAAATTTGCGCTGCAGATCGGCATTGAAATTCTCGTGGCGTATGGCCAGATAGGCCTTGAAGAAGACGCTAAACTCCTTTTTGGGTGCATGACTGACGACTACGACAAGCGCGTCGGTGGCGCTTAGGCCCCCACTGTCCTCGGCCACCAGCAAATACTCATCGGAGCCGAGGTCACCACTCTTGGGTATGCCATAGAACTCCTGATTCTTTGAATCGAACTGCAGCCAGTGTCGTGTGCCCAGCTCTTTATGATCCTTGGTCTTCAACGTCAACGTCAGCTCATTATCGTTGGGATCGTAAAAGGTATCGATTGGCACCCTGTATACCAGCAGCTGGCCCACGGACGCATTCACGCGATCCACCTGATTGCGGGGCATGGGCGGCAAGTTTTTGGACATATGCATTGTGGGCTTGGGCTTGGTTAGCTCCGTCTTCAGACAGGAGCCAATCAACTGCCCTGTAATCGACTTTATTCCCAAAAGCGGCTGCACCAAATCGCTCAACCGTTGCGCATCCAACCGTCTGACAATATCATTCAGCTCTGCCTCGGGACACTCGGTTGTGGGCAGCGTCTCATTGAAATAGACAAATGTGGCGCTGTGCGGATCCTGCGGCACTTGCCGTATTTCACGTACCACCAGCGCTGCACTGTTCCCGTCTTCCAGGGTCCTAGCGATCCCATGTATCAGTTTCAGCTGCCAGTCAATATTCTTCAAATGCTTCTCGTTGATGCGCACAGCAATGTTGATCTCATGGTTGATTGTGCGCACCCCGCGATGCTGCTGCACGCTGATCTCGACTGTTTCCGTTACGCTCTCGTTACCCGAATCCGTGGCGGTCAGGCGATATTGCCAGCGTGATACCGTATCATCCAAGGGCCTGTAAAGGCACAATAATTGAGAATTTTATAAAAATAATTGTTACTAGGTCGTACTCTTTTTTGTATAGTAAATTAACCGGGATTAATTAACTAGGTTAATTAAGTGGAATGATTACTTTGCTGCTAACTTCTTATATTAATAATTCCAATATTCTGTATATGTTCTTATCATGTTGCATTATCTTTGTATAAATTATACATAATTTTAAGTGAAGACACGAACGGATAGATTGGTGATGTTCATGTTCATAGAGGACTCAATATAATGTGAAAAGTATTTAGCTCCTAAGCTGTATAGCTAGATTTTAAATACAATGCAGAGAATTTCGATGCCGTTTCCAGATGTACGAATAAAACAAAATATATCCATCGGCAATGAATACAATTGAAATAACAACAAATTTTTGGTACTGAAAAAAAACTACAATAATTGCAACTTACAGGCCATAAAGTTCGCGTTTCTCGGCATTGAACTGCAGCCAGGAATTGTGTTTCAATTCTTGCCCATCCTTGTCCGTAAGTTCCAATCGCAGGTTTTTCAGATCCTCCGTATCGAAAAATGTGTCCTCGGGCACCAGGAACGTGAAAGCTTTGCCCGAAGTCACCGCCAACTTCTGCAGTCGGGTCTTGATGATGGGTGCACTGTTCTCGTTGTGAGGCTCCACATAATCCGTCGAGGCGAAAGTTGTGCTGCTCACCTCGATCGACGCAACGGGCACATGTGGAGTTGTCGTAGACACTGAAATGGTTGCCGTGGACTGCAAAAATATTGATCAGTACTGGAATGCTTTAGTCTACATCCTGAAATACTTACATCCTGACCAGCGGACACGCTGCTGTTGTTGCTGGCATCGATGGCATTGGCATCCTCTTCCTAGGAAGTAAAGCGTTCATAAGTAAAATGTGGATCGTTGGCGGAATAGGCGCTATTTGTGTTATAATTAGTGTCATGCGTTGTGAATACGAAGAGTTGATCCAAAACCGATCACATTGACTTGCCATTATTAATCTACCATTAGCCATAGAGACAATGTATGTATATACAGGCACATATATCAACATAGAGTATATAGTACAATACAATCCATACCACTACAAAGAGCATGCAGGGACTTACAGCTTGTCAGCAACCGGACAACATGCAGGCGTGTGTTTAACTCTCACGTTGATGCACTGCATCAAACGCTTTTATCCGTTGCTAATTGGCGATGTTCTTACATGCTAATTGACCAATAGAATGGCGTATTAAAATCATTAGGTGCATTAGACTAGAAAATCCTGTTTATTCACTATGGATTGCTTATAATTGGCTGGCATACATGCGCCACCGTTTTCTGGATGATGGAGGGAAAAAAGGCCAGCTACTTGGAATTAAGTGTGTATTTGTGATGTTTGCAGTGCAGCTGGAGAGGGATTAACAAAACTATATAACTTGTTCTGCGAACCAACTAATTCCTACGGGAATTCAAAGCAAATGTTCACCTTGCTAACAGTGCTCGGCACGTAAGCTGTCGTCGAGCTCTCAAAATGAATTTCGCTAATGGACTGACCCGTTGTTAAGGCAACACTAGTTGCCGCTTCAACATCATCGTCTTCTGTGAAATGCCTGGGCGACAAGCTGCTCAGCGTTAGCTCGGGCTCGCTATGTACTTGCTGCTGCGTTTTTATTTATATTTGACAACAATTAAGAAACATTTATTAAATGTGGTGCAGGTTCGAGGGACGCAGATTTAAAACATAAAACTAGCGTGGTACAATTACATAATTGAAAAGAAAAAAGGACAAAGAACGCAGGAAGTGGCATTAAGAAAGGCAAACTTTAGCCCTTCAACGTTGTGGACATAATTTTAAGTTGATTAAAAAACGGGTGGCATGAATCAATTTATATCATAATCATAATGGATTGATTAGGTAAAGGTATATACATAAGTACAAGGGTATTCTATTTGTCTCATTTCTCATATCATGCTTGGTATGTAGACTTTCATACATATGTACATTTATTCAGGTTTCCATGATTTTAGTGAGATTTCGTCGTTCAATTTTGTCCAAATCGTTTTCACAAATTAAGTAAAGTTATCGAATCGGAGTTCTAATGTGCGGGGAGATGCTCCTTCAAATAATGGTAAGTGTAATTAATTCGAGAAAATAACTCGTTTTGTAAAAATCGAAGCTCGAAAACAGGGTACTGGCCTATATCGATAAAGTTTTAATATTTCAGTTGTTTGTTAGGCACATATTTTTTTAATTATTCAGCTATAAAACCAGATTAAGATATCATCACGTTGAAACGTATTTAAGAAAAACATATTTGTATTTATAAAACAAAGAAAGTTTAATGGATGAGGATCTAATCGGATATGTTTGATTCACAAAAACTAACTAAGCTTTAGACAAATGTCTGCCCCATTCTTATCGGGAATCTCCTATTGCATTTTAGTTTATTTTATGTCTCTTTAACGTTTTTACTATATGAACACAAGTTTCAATGCAAGTTTTTGTACTTATGTATCCTCTATCCTCCACATTTAATACTGCATACGCTTTAATGTCTTAAATAGTAGCTTTCCTATATATTTTTTCTGCATTCGTTACAATATCGTCTAAAACTTTGTGTTTCCCAAGTATTTGCTTGAATGCACAGTAATTATATGATTGTATTTCTTTTTGATATTTAAAACTAAAAGAAATATTTCGTAAGCACACAAAGCAAGTCTGAAATTTGTCAAATTGTTTGCAAAAATATTTTACATTGGAGCGACACAAAAGTTCTCATATTTTTGTACACTAAATGCTTACACAATACGAACAGCACAAGAGGCACAACTAACTTGGATTATATTTCACATAGAGAGCGTAATAACATAAAAGGCTACAATAACAAATATAAGCATATATGTATATGGCCATACTTGTATATGCATATACACATGGCTTTATAAAAGAGAAGAGGATGATACACTTATACGATAGACGTTGCACATGTACTATGTATGTGTACGATTATGTTTGTACGAATCTATGAACAACAGACAGAACAGGAGAAGAGGGGAGAGAGAGACAGAGAGAGAGAGAGAGTGGCAGAGAGGACACACACGATAGCGACATTACCTTTGGCGATTGTGATTGTGTTGCTGTTGTACTTGTTGTTGATGATGGTAAAGTTGCTGTTGTTGCTGTTGTGAAAGTTGTGTTGTTATTGTTGTTGTTGTTGTTGCTAACCGTTACAGACTCAGTGACACTGATTGTGCTTGGTGTGGTGTTCATAGTGGCTGAGGTCGTGGTGGAGGTGGTGATGGTGCTTACAGGGATGCTTGTGCCGGCGGCAGACGATAACGATGGTAACGAAGGTGTAGAAGTCGTTTCAATAGTTTCGATTGTTGTTGCAATTGATGGCACAGACACCGATGAATTGGCATCGTATGGTGAAAATGAAGGTGACTGCTTGCTGTTGTTACTGATATTGTTGTTGTTTTCTATGGAATTGGGCTGTGTGGAATGGGCATGTACAGACGCTGACTTGGGTGTTGCAGGTGTGGCAATTATGTCTTGATTAGTGGTTAGTAATGTGCTTGTTGCCATGTGATCTTCTACATTAGCGGCTGTCACAGCGACGACGACAGTATCCTGTACACCATCATCATCATCATCATCATTGTTGTTGTTCTTGTTTATGATGTTGTTGCTGTTGCTGTTCATGTTGGGCGCAGCATCAAATAAGCTTGGATTTACCGTTGCACTAGTAGTTGACGCAATGCTGGGCGTGGCAGTATCCGCCTTAATCACATCCAATTCATTGTCAAATTCTTCTACGAGCATCTTGTCAGTCTCCACAATTTGTGGCACCGCTGGCACACCTACGGCATGCGTTTTCCCCAACTGTTCCAAATCAACGTCCTCGTCAGCATCGTCGTCAACACTCAGCACAGACAACTCCTTAATGTTTTTAGTGTTCTCAATGGTTTTGCTAATGACCGATTCCAATTTGGAGACACTCTCCTCGATTTCCTCGTCCAAACTGTTTGGCCTGCTCTCCACAATTGTGGGGCTGTTGGGCGGAGCTGGAGCGGTAACTTCTACAGCGGGCACAGCCCCTGCTCCAGCACTGATATTATCGGTCTTCAATTTGCGAATCGCGTTTCCATGTTAGTAACAGTTTGAGAGGTTTAGGGGTTTGGTAGTCATGATGGTTGTTAGTAGCAGATATTTGTTTTATTTTTGTTGTTGTTGTTGGATTTTATTTTTGGATATTTTAAATTTTTTGGCAATAGTAGTAACAGTAATTAACAGTAATGAGCACAGCGAGTATAATAGCAAAAAGAGAAGAAGAGACAAAAACACCATATGATGAATAACAGTTATGTTCAAATTCGATTGCATGTGTGTATGTTTGTATGTGTAGGGCTTGTCAAACTAAACATTTATATGTATGTGTATGTATGTATGTGTGTATATCTACTACTTTTAGTCACTTATGTAGTATTTGTTGCTGTTGTATGACAGTGTTGGTGCAATTTATATATATATATAGTATATATGTGTGTGTGTTTTTATTTTTAATCACATATCAACAAAGTGCAGTAACAAACATAATAGACTTCCGGAAATAATAACGGAGTGTGTAATATATATATAACATTATACATATAGAAAACAAATTAAAGAAAATAACATCCGTATGTGTGAATGTACTTAACAATTAAAACCGTGTATGTAAATCATATTACCAATATGATCAATGACAGTGAGTTTAATCAAAAAAAAAGAAGGCGGAAAGTAACGGTAAAACAATTGATTCACACTTACCACGCCATGGTGATGACGATGGGCATGTGTAGGCGCTGGCGTTGTGGTGACTGGCTCTCTATAGATACAAAAATTAAAACGAATCCATCAGTAATCGAATCAACAAGTGCTTTATTTAAAGTGTGTATGAATAATACTTACGGCGTTTCCTCCTCGCCGTAGTCATACTCATAATCGTCCTCGGGTGCTGAGCCCTCCGTATCTCGTCGTTTCCGTTGTGATCTGCAATTTGTTAAAATGGATTTGAAAAACCGATGCATACAATATCTGCAGAACAATTTAACTAATTTCCGCGAATCCGCAAGAGCTACGCCATTTTTACAGTTGTCTTACTCATCGTACAGTTGCTGTTTATCACAATTTGTGATTAATAGTAGAACTTTTATGTTATATATTGGCTAAGTACAAGTACATTATGGTTGTTTTCTCACCCCTTGACTTAAATAGTTGAATGCTCAATTATAAAAAGCCCACATTAACCATTGACTTGGTCTTCTCCTGTTAGACTTCTAGTCTCAAGAAGAGACGAGCTTATTTCTTTTTCTGATATAATTAGTTTTTAATTAATTGGGAAACAAAACAATAAATGTGCTATATTCAGTCTTTAAACACATTTTCGTCACGAAATAGGAACGTTCTTTAGCATACAATTAGGTAAATATCCACAAATGGGCGGATTTGGATGAAGAGAAGACTTTAATTTGTTTCATTTACCTGGGCCTCAATTCTTTGCGCCATATATACCATGTTCCAAAATTTTCCTCCGTTATGGCGCCGATGGTGCCATCCTTAACTTGATGCGCAATCTGCTTGACGATTGGCTCTCCCATATCAAAGTAATTAGCACCGCAACCAATCTAGAAGTCACATGAACGGAGCATACTTACAAGTCTGCTCTTGCAAACACATTTTAGATTCTTAGACTTACCATAAAACTAGCGCGTCCCAGACGCCTATTCGTAGTCTCCCAGCCCTTCTGAAGCTTTCCACCTTTACGCATGGCTGTTTTTTGCATAGACTGCAAGTCGTGCCTTCTTATCGAATCCAATGCTATGAATTCCTATAACCAGAACCCAAATAAGCACATGTATTTGTGTTCCCCTATGGTGATTGTTTCTTACCTTTGGTATGGCAAAGAATTTGGCCAGCTTGGATTGGACATGGGCGCGTTTGGCGGCGCTCAATTCGTTCCAGTCGTGCTGCTTCAGCACCAATGAGAGCACAATCTCGTTCGGCGACTGCTCACAGCGCATAAGTTCCGTAACGTAGGGGTCTTGCTGATAGGCCGGCACATCTTTGGGCTCAATAACGGGCACCTAGAAATGAAAAGTTATGCATTAATGTGCAACAGCTGGTACATAAAATCCGATCAAGTCGAGCAGTGCACATAAATTCCAGCTTGCCGAACATAATGCGCTTTGTTCTCATTCAGCGTTATCATTTCGTGGCTATCTAATCGTGGAGAGCGTCGGTTCCTCAAAGCGTCCCAACGCAGCAAGTCGCGCATATTTCAACTTGAGGCTGTCATGCATCATCAATCAAAATTACAAAGAAACTGACAGCTGGGCTGGGAGCTGACGATGATGCTGACGCTGACTGACTGACTGCCACTGCAGTTAACAAATGCCCGCAGTTGAGCGTGGTCGCGCCTGTGGTCTCCGGCCCTAACCACAGCCCAATCCATTAACGAGTCGACGACAATGCCGGCCTGTGTCTCTAAAATTTAGAAGTCACCCAAGCAGGCAGGCAGTTAGGCCGCCACTTAAGCTAATCTGCAATCCCCACGCAAATGGCCACCCAAAATGCTCAGCAAGTGAAACACGGCATGAAAATTGCTCAGATACTCCTCGCACTCACCTGGGAGTCGTTTAGGTTGAAATCGCGCTCTGCGCTCACGTGCGAACCGATGCAGACCAGCAAAAATAGCAGCCCCGTCATCGTCGACGACATCCGATTAAATTTCAATGATGAGCGGCGCTGCGACAGTGGCTTCATATTTGCTGTGTCTGAGTATATGTACATAGTATATAGTATAGAATACAATTTCGATTTCGTTCGACGAAATATAATATCGAGAGTATCGGTATGCCGGCTGCAGTTTCTTCTCTCTCCGTCCACTTTATCAGCTTTTTTTAAAAAAAGGAAAGTAAGAGTTTTGGATTCAGACTCGGACGCTTTTGTGCGGCGATTTTTCGTTTACAACATCTGAAAACAATGCAAGAAAAATGTCGTGGGAATTATTAATGATGACAAGCTTATTGACGGTCTATAAATAATCGTCCACTACGTATTCTTCGTGTATTTCTCTGGAAGCGTTACACGAAATTAAAAGTTATGTCTATGTTAATTAAGTAGTAATTATATATACTATATCTATTTATGGGCAAATGTACAGCATATATGTATACATTAATATCGAAGACCATACATTTCATGCATGGGTCGCTGACCCAACCCCATTTGGGCAGTCAATGGGCGGTCGTTGTGGCAGCAATCATGAAAAATGCTTCACGTTGTTGTAATTAGCATAAACAACTGTGAAAAGGCCGAACGAGCCTTTCAGTTGGTCTGTCAGTCTCTCAGTCTCTGTGTATGTGTGTTGTGTTTGACTGAAAATTAGCGCTTGATTAACATGCACACGATTTCTGTATAATAATTAGCCAGAGATGAAAGCGAAAGTTCCAGCTGATCTATTATTGTGGTCACCGAGAAACGCACACACCAGATGGATTTTATTCAGAATTTCACAAAATAAAAACATTTTTCAGCATTTTCCAGACTGTGTACTCAGCTCCAGCAAGGCCGATTGTTTTTTTTTTTTTTTTTTTAATAAATAAAGCCATTTAGTTTTAATATAAATGTTCTGTCTTAACAAAAGATTATTTAATTTTGGAAATGACATAAGCTCGGGCAGTATTGGGTGGATTTGTATTGATGTAATGATTTATGTATTTAGCATTTGTTGCTTTTGTAAAAATAAATAAAACTTTCGTGATAAAATAGGCGTTTTTTGATTCAAAGAAATGACTTCAGCTCGCACAATTCAAATACAGACTATTTATATTTGTTTTTCACATTTGTGGATGAATGTACTTTTGTTTTTGCCAATTTAACATTTACGTCATAATATAAGCATATAATTTAATGGGATATACAATTTATACGTAAATCCTCACTGACTTTTGATTATCAGTTCATGGAATTACAAAAGTTTAAAAATCCAAAAAATGTACAAATACCTTCAAGTGCAGTTTTTGTAAGAAGTGAAGCAATTCGCTATTTTCTTTGATTACAATTTTCTCAATCAATTATTTGATTGAATTTTAGCCAAATTCTTGCGAAATGGGTTTCTTTGTTTGATAGTCAAGCGATTCAGTTTTGAGGTTCAAACGCAAGTTTGCAAGTTTTGCAATTAGTTTCAAAAGTTTAATAATCTCTATATATTCGTATATAAAACAGTTTGTCCTGACTGACTGACTCACTAATTGGCGATCAACGCACACCCCAATCTTCGAATTTGGTTTTTATATTCTCTGAAAAAAATACAAAAAAAGTACATACTCGCATTTTTGAAATTTTACTTGCAGCTTGAATTATTGGGGTTTTAATATTTCTTCTCTTTTTTTTCAAATGAAAAGTTTATTTTTTTATTTTAAAAAATCAGTTACAAAGATTAGAGATAAGCATAGTGCTTTTGGTTCGTATCCAAAAGCCAACACAAAATAGTTTAAAAATGTTGGGCGTGTCTATGTCTGTGTGAATATCTGATTAACTGTTTCCTAGGCGTAACTTCAAAGTCTGTGCCTGAAGGTACGTTTAAATCCAGCAGCCAAGTGGCTTATTGGTTTATTGTAAGGGTATGTGACTAACTGAAAAGGCAAATCAAGAGAGAGAAAGAGCACTCTAGTAAGATATAAATAGAAGGGCAGCCATATAAATAACAAAAATAATCCATAAAATAAAATATTTTTAAAATCCTTTTTTTTTGTTATGCGATGGAACTCCTCCAATAACATTGCAGCGGGTCTACTATTAATAATAATAATATTAATTTAATATACCAATTTCTGAACACCCCAGAATTTCATTCCTAACGAAAAAAAGTGTCCCAATGATTTGGGCTGAGTATTGGTACATATATATACATATACCTACCAGAACAATTTTAGAAATGTTCTTAGGGACCAGAAAATAACGGAAATTGAAGTGGCCAGTAAACAGCCCATATTATCCAGCAAGATTTACAAAAATGACTGTCATTTACAGTCGGTAAATGATTTCATAAATAAGTTATTAAAAGAATGGAATCAAATTAGTCCCACAAGAAAAACAAGTTGATTTCCTCTTTCAACCTTTAATGTAGGATAAAGAGTAGATTTCCTCTTTGATCAACCTCGCTAATTCCCAATATTTGGGTGAATAAAAAAAAAAAAATTTTATGACCACATTTGGAATTCTGGGCTGATCCCATTTCCTTGAGTTAATCATTCAGCACAGCTAATAGGCTTATTACAAGTATCTGCGAGCAACATGTGTCAGACATGAAAACATATTTCTGTCGAGCGTGGAACGGGGACAATTGCATAAGATCGCAGCGTTGTTGGGAATATACGAGTATAGTGTCTCCACAAATGCGATGGCAGAGCAATGAATGCAATGCACATAAATATGAAAAATATGGGATATTTGAAAAAAGTTGAATATGTGTAAAATGCATTGCGTACATGCGTTGAAAACTAATAAAATTTGAAACGGCTTAATTGAAGCATAAAATATGCCAGCAATAACAACATAACCCACAACGACTACAACAACAAAAACAACAACAACAACTGCAGCAGCAGCAGCTACAAGCCACAAGCGCGCTCAACCAACAAGCCGGGGCGTTCAATTAGAGGCAGCAATGAGAATACCAACAACAACAACAAGAAGACTAATAGCAACCATGCCGGGTGCGATGATGATAAATGCAACAACTTGCAACGAAGCGCGCCCAAGTACTTACATTTTTTCATCGAACTTCTACCACACAGAAATAATAAATACAAATTCCATATTTTTCATACTTCAAATATGCTCATAAATAGTGTGGTTGTGGCCGCAAAAAAAAAAAACAAATAAATAATAATAATAATAAGAAAGAAACAAACATATTAAATGACTCTCGCGGACGCATACAATAAATATTTCGAAACGTTGTATGTAATTATTGATTTCAGGGCGTGTGTTGTATTTGTAAGTGTTTGTTGCTTATTGTCTGCTTGACTGCAAGAAATGCTAATTGTGTTGTCTTGACTTGGCCATATGTGCCTGTTTGTTTGTTTGCCTGCTTGCTTGCTTGTATGTATGTATGTATATTTGTTGTTCAAGTAGAAAGTAGCATTATCATCAATATTAATTTAAGAAAAACGCCGCCTCCATAGCAATGGACTCCCCACCGTCAGAATAAATTGCTGCCGGCTTGCCTGAGCTCTGAGCTGTCTTCTCAGTGCTGTAAGCCCTCTGCGCTTATTTGTCCAGCCCAAGACCAGGCGTGTCGCACATACCAATGAACTGGCGTTGTTAACTGACGCCGGCAAAAGTGTCAAACAGGCGGCAGAAACTATGCAAAATGAACTTAAAATGCAGCCAAGCATGCCGGGGCCATCAGTCAGTTGGTCGGTCGGTCCGTCGGTCCGTCGTGCTCGGCTTTGAATGCTAGCTGCCGGATTGCTATGAATGGAAATGGGCACAAAGCCGGCAGACGGCAGGCAAGGGAACATCTAAAAAAAAGAGCCCAAGCCAAGCCCCTCCCTCACTCTGCACATAACATAACAAACACATAGAACCGACATTGTAGTCCATTGTGGGGGTGATGGGTGGGGGGAATGCAAATGAATTAGCATTGCGCCAAATGCAAAATATTTATGTACTCACAACAAAACAAACTTGCAGAGCGAACTCAACAACAACAAGAGAGAACGCTACAGTCGAGCAAGCCCGACCGTGTAATACCCTGTACCCAGGTAAACTTCCGTCACTGAGTTATATGCGCCCATAGCAGCAAAGGAAGAAGAAGAGCGAACTTGTTGCTGCAGTTTGTGGGGGTTGTACTACCGAGAATTTGTTTCGCTAATAACTTTTCTTGGAATTGACCGAATTGAATTAAATTTTAATCAACAGTAGATAATTATGTGTGTAAATTATGTGTGCAAAGTTTGGTTAGGGTAGCATTTGAAATGTGGACAAAATTCCGAAGCGGGGAAGGGGGGGACAACTAAAAAAAATAAAATAAACTCGTCCTTTCTCGGACCTAGGAGAATCTGGATGCCAACTTTGGTTATTCTAGCTCTTATAGTTTCTGAGATCCTTGCGTTCATCCAGACGGACGGACAGACGGACGGACGGACATGCCTAGATCGATTTCTCTCGTCATGCTGATTCAGAATATATATACTTTATGGGGTCGGAGATGCTTGCTTCTGCATGTTACATACTTTGCACAAGCCTAATATACCCTTTTTACCCTACGGGTACAGGGTATAAAAAGGCAAACTCCGTAAAAGTAACAGCACCTAACAATCGAAACAGACAAACCAACAGGCAGCCAGACAGTCAGTCAAATAGTCAATTATAAGTACAAATATAGTTCCACAGTGGCTTCAAAAACAAAGCCAATCGGTGACAATTGCACCCGATCTGTCAATAAAATAACTACATTTGGATATTTTTCTAATTTTCTTAATATATAGTAGAGCTATAAAATAGTGTGTTCTGACCAACTGATTATTGATTAACGCAAACGCTAAGACTTAAAAAGCTGGCAGTTTCTTTTCATAGTGCATGTTATGTTAGCACTAGGAAGGTTTTGGATGTTTTGTTTAAATAAAAACCCAAATGCGATAAGACCGGCTCCAACGTTTGTATGATAAATCAACCGATCGACTTAGTCATACTTTACGTATGAAATAAACACAAAATACTTATAGTATAGCTATAAGAAAGTGACAGTTTCTATTCATAGTGTATGTTATATTAGCACTAAGAAGGTTTTGGATGTTTTGTTTAAAAACCCAAATTGTATAAGACCGATCGACTTAGTCTTACTTACTTTAAGTATGAAATCAAAACAAACGTCTTGTTTGAAAAAGTTGTTGGGTCATGAATTGTTGGTGTTTTTTGTTGTAATTTTGCAACAATAAAAGTAATAGACAATAAATCCACAA